CGAATAAGACCCACCCACCACCACTCTCTGGGTGCGGCCCTCAAGCCAACTAGTGACCCTTCTGACTGTGTAGGTATCGACACCACAGTCTCCTAGTTTTTTAATGAGAATGGGGTGAGAGACAGTGTTGAAAGCTTTCCTAAAGTCCAGAAAGGTTATGTCAACCGTGACACCTGCATCCAAAGCTTTTGTGACCTGGTCGTAGAAGGCCACCAAGTTGGTCTGACAGGACCCACCTCTAATGAACCCATGTTGATTGCCCCTAAGCATAATCTCCCTTGCTGGTCCCATGCAGATACGCTCCTGCATAATTTTCTCAAAGACCTTCCCCAGGACTGAGGTAAGACTAACAGACCTATAGTTTTCTGGGTCCTCTTTCCTCCCTTTTTTGAAAATGGGGACCACATTGGCCCTTTTCCAGTCCTCTGGCACCTTGCCAGAGCACCACGAGTGCTTGTAAAGTTGTGCCAGGGGTGCCTTTATGACCTCTGCCAATTCCCTCAGCACTCTGGGGTGGAGATCATGCACAGTTACAGTAAAAGGCAGAAGAAGAGACAATATCCATTTGTTTTTTATCATGGTATGAGAAGAATGGAGCGTCATACTTTACACAGAAAAGTCTCAATGAATACTGAAGTTGGAAAAGAGCTGACTTGATGCTTCAGACAAGGCACATAAAGTACACGTTTAAGCCCCAAACCACTATAATTTCAGATAGCTATATAATACTTCCATTTCACTCACTCACCCAGGACTTTTTGCAAAGCTCAAATGAATGCTTAATATCTGAATTCCGTGCCAAACAGATAGAGAATACCAAAGGCCTCTGATGGCTACATATGGTAAGGATTTCAGCTTTGTTTCCTCCTAAAGACAGAACCTCCTACAGCAAGAAATCTCTACCTCTTATATTTCCTTTGACATCTCTACAGGACAATACTCACCTAAAAACATGCAAGAATTCTGGTTCAATGCTAAATGGAAGAACTACCAACTGTTCCTTTTTACAGAAATTAGTCCAGATTATAACACTGCTATTCCACATCTAGCATTACCGAATCTTAAATATCTTTGAGATACATGGACTCACTCTGGACACATCAACTTGGCTTCTAGCCCATGGGTAGGCAACCCCTAGCACAGGTTGCAAAGCCTGGCATGCAAAAGCACACTTGTGTGCCAGGCTTTGCTTGCTATGCACACTTTGGTGTGGATGATGAGGAAAGGGCTGGGAAAAGGGCACTGCCACAACAAGGATTGGGTCCCTTCCAGCTCCCCACTGCCCACTAAGGCTATGCGCAACTTTGGTAGCCAATTCAATTCGATTCGGCGGCCAAATCTCCAAATTCAAATCAAATCGGGAGACCTATTAAAAGGTCTGAATCAAACTGAAAGCCTCCAAATCAATTCAGAGAGATCTGGTGCTGACTCGGAGATTCAACCATAGACTAATCAGGCAGCAGTCCTCAACCATGCTGGACACAGCTGCCTCCA